TTTCAGACTGGAAATAAAGCAAGTCACACTAGTTTTTTGGTTTCCCAGTGCACATAAAAGTTATTTATACTATATTGTAGTCTATTAAGTGTGTAACAGCATGATATCTAAAAAAACAAAACAAAACAATGTACATGCCTTAATTTAAAAGTACTTTAGTGCTAAAAAATGCTAACCATCATGTGAGCCTTCAGCAACTCTAATCTTTTGTAGCAGGGTTGCCATAAACCTTCAATTTGTAAAGAATGCAGTATTTGCAAAGCACGATACTAAAGCAAAGTGCAATAAAACAAGATATACCTATAAATCATTTATTATTTCAACACAGACCTAAATGTAACATTTGGATTTTTTATTTTTAAATCTGGCTGCTTAAAAAACTCAAAACAGTTAAACCAATAGAATGGCATATTATAATCTCATACTCTAAATATGTAATTTCTAACTTTGTCCTATCTAGAACATTTTTTGTCAGTCAATCTTGCTCGGGGAATTCTGTAATGGCCTTTAGCCAAAAACAACAAAATCCTATCTAAGTTTTAAAAGAGTTATACCTGTTAAAAGAGTTTTACTGTTTTATGATTGAGACATCAATGGAAAGGAATTTAAGGCTTCTTAAGCTAATTCTACATGAAAGTGGTAATAGTTTACCATTTAATATTGTACAAGCAATTTAAAGAATGCTTTAAAATAAAATGATACTAATAAATATCGGGTAGGTTCTACTCAGTCATAGCTCAGTGTGGCTTTGTATCAGAGCTAAGATGCTGAAATATAATATGCCCAATATGGAAGATTAAAAAATAAACTAATCTAATTTTTGTTAGCAGTCAAATCTATTTTCTAAATTTTCAAACTGGCCATTGATTAAGGTTCCCCATTTTCTTCTGAAATAGTCAGACCAGGCTGGGAAGCCTTTCCTAGATTTGCTTGGAACTAATGAGCTGAAGCTCTCTTGCCCATCTGTGTGATTCTACCCCAGCCTCCAACAGTTAGTTCATAAGCAATGTAATTTGCTTTCACTGTGGAGGGGATTCCTATAGTGTTTTCATTCATGAAAATAAAGTGGTCAAAGGGAAAGACTTTCATAAAGAATGTTTCTCTCTGATGTAATTCCTTCTAAAACAGAAAATACTTTATATAAAGTTCAATTAGGACCAAATATAGTATAAACGGCCTCTGTACCAATTAGACTTCAAATACAGAAGAGGCTGAATATTACATTATTTTCTATTCGCTTCCCTGGTTCTATGCCAAACATGCCTTGGCTGCAACAGAAGAATGAGGAGGCTTTTATAGTTTGGGGAGAAAAAGGAACATAACTATGGGGGCTCTAGAAGGGTGTAGTTGCAATCTGGCACTTTGCAAACATTTTGGAAAATGAATGAAGCTCTTTTATAATTATAACTCTATAGGTAGGATCTACTTATAAACTATGGCGACTTTATAATATATCCCCTATATAAACCCAAACCTTGCTAATGTGACCTATTTATTTGGCAGCAACAGTGAGCCATACTGTTCTGTTCGAAATGCAAGGCTGAAGAAGAGATTTTATATCCAGGGGAAAAAAATCTATTTTGAAGGTAAGGATAAAGATATCTCTCTCACTCTCTCTCTCTCTCTTTTTTTTTTTTTACTTAAACACAAAGATCAATCATAGCCAGTTCGAACAAAGACTAAAACCTTTTCAACCTATTAAGCATGAATTAAGAAAGAATACTACTAAAAGGAAGAAAATTAGTAAGCTACCATATTAGTCCAAGAAGTCCAACAGGTGTTTGTTGTTTTAAGCAAGAACTACAGAAATAACGCAGTAAAATCTTGGCATATTACAGAATGAAAACAAACAAACAAAATAACAAATAAAACAAAAAAGTACTCCACGAGTAAAATGAGACTTCATTTTAACTTTAAGAATCTGGGATGGCAGCTGCTTTTTTCCTAGGGCTGAAATAATTCGGACTTCAGCTGCTACTTATTTTCTCTAACAATAGACTGTTTAAAGATGTATCACTTCTGGTGAAGCTATTCATTTCACCTAAGCTAAGCATATAGCTTAAGCCTCAGAAGATAACTTTATCACCTCTGGGCTGTATGCTCGGACTAAATACAACACTTGTCCCTGGTTCTGAATGGTATCTTATATCAAAATGCTTCCTTAATTATAGCTCTTGCTTCTCAAGCTGCTCTTTCAACATGTCAGAAGCTGCCTAAAGAGACTAAAATTGGATTCTTGCAGAAAAAAATATATTTTAGGAAAACATGTGCACCTAAGCATCTGTTCACATTAAAAACAGAAGGCAGTATGTTACAGCACACGTAAGAACAGGCTGTAAAATTTAATAATTCACAACATTCGCTTTGAAATATGGTAATCATTTAAAGCAACACACCACAATGGCAAAATCATTCCATTTGTTCAATAAATATTTATTGAGCATCGATCTGCTAGGCACTATGCTGGGGGCTGAGGATATAATGATTAGTAAAAGAGGCACATTAAGTCTACAGGCTTATATGGCTTCTCAAGATGAAAAGCAAAGAGAAAATAAGGTCATTCTCTGATTTTTCCGTTGGAGGCAGCCATCCTCCCTCTAACCCCTGCCCCAATTACGAAGGGGGTGAGGCCGACAACTTTTTGTATAAGTCAACTGTGGTATTTACAGAAACTGCATGATGGAGGCCCAGTGCAAATGTGGGTAGATCCTCAAGTGAGTCTACTTAACACACAATGCCAAACTACTGTAGCTTTATACAATCTGATTGCTATTTATAATAATGCTGCTCCTGGAAAATGCTTTCTGAGTTCTAAAAGGGTCACCACGGACAAAGTTCTTCCTGGTTCAGCCTTCCTGGTTTCACTAGGCAGTGAAACGCTTCCAGTTCTAAGCGGATGACTCCTACGGTGAGGAGAGCCAGGGGAAGGGACTGGGAAAAACGACAGGCACTAGGAGTGAGGTTTAGGAGTGAGGTTTAGGAGCGAGCTCGAACCTTCCCTAATCCTTGTTTTTTTTCTTTTCTCTTCATTGATCAGATAAAAATGGGATGGCATCCTGGGTTTAAGCAGCTTAGGACTACCTGTAATAGTGGAATGCGGTTACGAGAAATAGTGCTCAGAGATGCACAGGGAAAGGCAGAGAAGTCACCAGTACTGTATGTGTATGTGACAGACCGAAGTCAGGCATCGTTGAGGGCATCTAGAGACATCCATTCAGATGGTCAGCAACCACTGACCGTTCCTTTGATATGGGGTACATGATATGCACCGACGGGATATAATTAGAGGAGAAAGAAGAAATGCATCCTACACTATTGGAATATTTGCAATGTCACGCCAATTGTAGTGTTACACATAAATATTAGTTATTAATCACTTATTGTAATTGAAGACAAGGAAGGTTTGTTCGAGACAGATGGACTGACTTAAATAACCAAGGTCACGCATTTAGTGACATGACAGGCAAAGACTCAGGCAATGAACTTTAACATTACGTGATTAGTCATGTGTCAAAGCCATAAACGTGTGAAGCCATGTCAAACAAGACCGAAACAAGCAGGGAAAGGAAGAAAAGACAGATTCCATCCCCCACATTTCACAAGGGAACTGCCTCACGCACTCTATAGACATGAAACCACTGGAAGTTACTTATGATGCATTACAAAGCTACAAGGGAAAACAAAAAGGCAATAGTTGTCAGTGAAAAATTACCCTGAGGCATATTTAATTAGAAACATCAGTCTTTTTCAGTTGGCCTTAAATAACACAAGTTAATGTCGTTCTAAGTTTAACGGCATATAGAAATAACAGGTTTAGATTTTATTTTTATCACAATTATAATTTCGGAGTAATCCAAGAAAAGACTACCCAAATATGACTACCCCCAAATGAACACACACTCTATTTCAGGGCAGGAAGGGAAAAAAAAGAAGAGAAGCGAAAGAAAAGATATATCCTTTCGTATGAACTCTATTAGGTTGGCTGCTTAGGAAATCACCTACTCTCTAAGCTTCTAGAATGGCAAAGAGAAAATTACCTTTGCTTCCATAAAAAAAAAAACTTCAACAAAGGAGCTTCCTATGAACGCACATGAAATAATAATACAATATTTACTATAAAGAACTTGGATAATTTTGAAAATATGTCGTAAAGCACTTCATAAACCTTTCACTAATGAACTTTAAGGTATTCATCAATATACCCTCTCACTAAAATTTTAAACTATAAAAATCTTCTTAGATACTTAGGCTCCGTTGCATTTTGCAGGGACTATACTTTCTTCAGCACACTCAAGGCTCACCTTCGCTGGCCATTTCTCCTCTCCTTTTTGGGGTATCATCTTCCTACTATTCACACAGACATCTTAACGTCTTCTCTTCCCCTCTCCAGATCTCAGACAAGGAAGCATCCTTACCACGGTGTTTCACAGATTCCTGACACTTGAAAGGAGTTATGCCCCCTTGTACTTTTTTTTTTAAATTAGACTTTATCTTCTAGAGCAATTCACAGCAAAACTGAGTGAAAAGTACAGTTTCCACACCCCCCCGCCCTTTATATTTTAATGGATATCAAATACTGAAACAGAAGAAAGAATTCTTAATCAGAGGTCTAGGGAAACCATGGATGGTCTTCACAGGGTCCTTGATCTCAGATAGTGTATACTGAATTTTGGCATATGGGTATATACACATTTTTTAGGAAGCAGGTCTCATTAAGTTATTAAGAGGTTGGCATTCAAACAAAACTAGGGCCACGAAGAATGAAGTTCAAGGTCCAGACATTAGGTAGAAAGATGACAGGAACTACTTTTGGGGTAAAGGCTTCACCAGTGTCCCTAAAATCGTACCACACAGACGGTTGCCACCGCAAGTGTCGATATGTATACCCAGGCCTCTAACTTCTACAGGAGCTATAAGAAATGCCCTAGTTAAATAAATTACAACCAATGAAACAACTTTGAAAACATATGATGACCTCTCTCTTCTTTCTTTTAACGTACCTTTAAAGCTTCTATGACAAGGTCCCTTGCTTCAAGCTCTCCCTCAAGAATACTGAAGAGTGTTAGAAGCTCAGGCTTGCTGAGTTTTTCCAGATTCATCCTGAAAGCCTAAAACAGAGACAACAATCAGACAACCTCCAGAAGACAGAGTTAATTTGATATTATTAAAGAAAAAAATACATTCAGAGAAGAGCAACAATTACAGTATAAAATGCTTTAAGAATGAAAAATTAAATAGAAAAATAAGCTTTCTTGACAATCACAGACTGAATAGTAAAAGAAGATAAAATTTACTTTATTGATTTCATCACTACTCACAAAGATTAATTTTTTATTATTTTTCCTCCACACATATTTATAAACATCCTAGAAGGTCTCAGAATGAATTAGTGACTAATTTTCTTCACTAGAAATTCAGATAAAATTGTGTTATATATAATCAATACTATTTCAATGAAAATTCCCAGTTTTAGAAAACCAGATTCCAAAACTGTATATAAAGCATTCTGGCATCCCTCTGAAATTGGTTGAAATGAAATTTGAGCAAAGATAATGTTTGGTGGGAGTATGGGAGAAATTTTTCTTTTAAATTGTCAACTTTCACAGAGAACATCACAATATTTATATTTCATATAGTAAAATAAGGCTTAAATGCAACCATATGCAACTTCTTAAAAATATATTGTTCGAACATCTTAATTGGCCATGCTACAAACTGGATTTATTTCACTAAACAAGTTCACATTTCTACACGGCCTTGCATCTTTTGAAATAAGTTAAATGGCAAACTGCATGGCACAAATTCAGGCCTTTCCACAAACCACACATAGAAGTTAGATGGCTATACAATCTTTAAAGAGTCTTCTGACCATTGTGTATGGTAAGATATATTTTATAACTTCCAAAATAGAGCAAATAATAATTTCCTTCTCCCGCTTTTTACTTCCAAATTGACACTCTCATATAGTTTTCTTTAAAGTGAATCACGACATGACTAGTTCACACACCCTCCAGGAATTCCCAACTCTTATGAGTACATTAAATTTTAGGAGGCGGACAAAAGAGTCATTGATTCCTTCCAGGGCTACTGCCTTCAGATGAAGGAGAACATGGAGGAAAGGCGGACTTCGCTGTGCTGTGAGGCCGTACAAATCTTTTGCCACATGGTAAAATATGTTCAGTGTAACTTCAGCTCTAACTGCTAACTTTCTAACTAGGGAGTTTATGCGACTAGTAAGAGGTTCTCACTTCGGTGTCAGAGAACTATCTCACAGCAGTTACTTTAAAAATAAGAACTAAAAGAACAGAAAAACTACAAACCTCATACAGCTAAACCTAATAGAAGATGGAATGTTGGAAAGAGCACGTGGCTTTGCAGTCAGATAGATGCCAGGCCTGCATCTTCCTACTCGTGTGACTCGGGCAAGTTTTCCGATCGTCAGTTTTATTATCTGTGTGAGGGGGATGATGACATCCCACTCATAGGGTTACTGTGGAGACTGAGTTAATACATGTCGAACACCTTGCCAACTTCCTGATACAAGATGAACAATGGGTTAATTATTAATAACTACTGTCCTCTCTCATTTTCCAAAGGAATTCTAAGAATGGTATTACCAAATTCGGGGGAAGCCAAACCAATGACCTCAGAAATATCTTCACCTGCCCTTTTGTAAAAGAAGGGCGATAGTATCCTGGAGTGGAAAATGGTGAGGAATTTAAAGTACCAGTTGAGTCACACTGGTTTGTTAGATGACCCCCATACCCAGCTTTTGATGATTTCATTTTTTTTTTCTCTCTCTCAGAGAGCTTATATAGCAGGGGAAAAATCCTAGCATTTTATGCCCTTCCTCTCCCCTTCCACGATGTTAATCAGGATAATGGCCACCTGCTAAAGGTACTCCATAAGTATCAACTTCACTGAGTAAATCAGCTGGATGTATAAGCCCCAAGACAGGAAGGCAGGAACAAAACACAAAATGACAGTGTTCACAGATATTACTCTTTTTTTTTCAATATCTTTATAGTCCTTAAATATTCTTATTTAGAGACCCAAAACTGTGGCTTAAAGAAGCAGAGTGATATGAGTAAAACATAAGAGACTTAGAGTGAGAAATGCAGAATTTTAGTCTCCGCCCTGCCGCTGAACAGCTGTGATCAGCTATGGCCTTGAGGAAAAAAAAATGACCCAGTTCCTCTGGCACTGTTTCCTCACAGGTAAAATAAGACAGACTAGATAATCCCTGAAGTCCTTCTTGGTCCTGTTCTAAGCTTCTATGGGTAAAAATCAAGAATTGTTTGTTAGAGAATCCAATTAAATAAGAATAAGAGACAAATATATAAAGAACTATAATAGATTGTACCTATACCAAAGTTTTTCATCTGTTGAATAAATATATATCCTCATAAAATAATAACATTGAAACAATCTTCAGAGTCACTTTAATTATAAAGCAGTCCAGCCCAGGCAAGAAAAAAGTCTATTCTTTGTCAATGGCATAAAGAATAATATTCTCATCATCTCTACATTGGTAAATCACTCCTGCACATAATCTTAATATATGGAACATTTTGCTGACACGTACCAACTCATTTTGCTTAGTGTCTACATGAAGTGAATACAATACAAATATGACAGGAGGAAAAAACCAACAGATTTGTTTTTGCATATTCCAATAATCTTTCTTTATAAATATTAAAATTTAGTTCTTTGCTATTCTGTACATTTGAATCGAATCTCAATACAAAGGTACGGCAATGAATTTTCGTATGAAACATAAATGAAAGATGGTAACATTGCATTACATTTTAGGGTGGCAGTGATATAGCTGGGGATGGAGGCAGGGGCGACGATGAGGGCGATACTGACCTGATAACTAGCAGTCACACTCTGGTCCTCAGGTACAAACTCTGAAAGTTTTCTTCAGTTCGAATTTGGGAAAACTGACAAATACATTTAAAATGCCGTCAGCATGGTGAAAAAGTGTCCAATGCTGCAAAATAACGAAAAATGTATTGCTTATGTGACCATACTATAAACAATTCCTAAATCCCATGAATGTCAACAGTAGCCGATGAGGCCTGACAGCTGTAGGTTGATTTGAACTAAGAAGAAGAAAATAGCCACTTCTTCAAGTTGAAGCTGAGTAATACAGGAAAAATACCAGGAATCTGACTTCCCTTTTGCAATTATAATTAGGGAAGGTGAGGGCTTTCACAATCTTTTTTACTTCAAGATGTCCATTGCTATGGACTGACTTACGAATGTTTCTGAAAGAGACTGACTTTCTCTCCCTGAACTGACAAAAGGCTATTTGTTTGAATCAACAAGACTTATGCACGACGGACTCAGAGAGAAAAATAAGTACAACTGAAATTTTCAAACTGCCAAATTCATTTGAGGAAAATTCTCAGCCTCTCGCCTCCTGCCAATCAACAAAGAAATAAATCAACCTGTCGCCATCTTGACTTTGTAATGCTGATTACTCATCCCCAGCTTCTACTTTTTCCCATTTATTTTCAAATATTAAATGCTGGATTATATACAAAATTTTTGCTTATGTCGTCCTATGAGTGTATTAGATCCAGCAAACTTAAAAAAAAAAAAAGGAAATATATTTTAAATGTTAGTTGATAAAACGTAAGTTTTGTATTGTATTTTAGGGACCAGGACTGAAAGCTTGTTTGTTTGAGTTGCTGAAACCTGACAGTCAAATAGGGACAGTGTCAAAGGAGGAATAATGCGGCAATAATGGCTTGTGTCATTCAACCAAGAATCAGCCATTAACCTAATTACGAATTTCTCCATTTAGGAGAAGTGTGAATTTGTTGTGCAGTCAGTAATGAGTGTAGAGCCATCATATAGGCAAACCACTAAGTAAGCTCCTCCAGCAATCTCTGCCCAATATATAAATGATGTGGCCCAAGATTTTCAGAAAAGGGCTATTTCTAACTCCATATTCATTATCAAAAATGAGGCTGTCAGATTTTTGGCGTGCCACACTGCAGTCTACACACTCATTCTCTACTCATTTTCTAAATGAGCTGTTATTCGTCACTGTCATCATCCATTAAGTAACTTTGAAAGACAAGTTCATTTCAACCAGATGCTCAGCTTGTTCCTTCTGTTAGAATCTGAGACCCAACTTTCCCTTTCCTTAGAATTTAGACACAGAAATGTCTGCCTAAGGAATGCTAAAGTCTATAAATTTGAAATAAAGTGATGAGTGGTCTGGAAATAGTATCATATACTATGATACAGCTAGCTATAGCTATATCAAGTGTCATAGTTTTCTCAATTAAAAACTATAAATACATAATAAAAAACCCAAAGTCATATATATTTTAATACTCTGGAAAATTAGCCTATTTATGGGCTAAGTATGAAACTTACTTTTAAGTTATGAATAAGTGATTTCAAACATGAGCTTGCCCAGCATACCATTTGGCCTATTCACATGTTACTTTCCCACTAGGTCAGGGCCCATAGCCAGGAGAGCGAGTTTCTTCCATACGAACTTTCATGTGCCAACAGACACAAGAGTTACGGAGCCTCCCGCATGGCTGGTTGTGCCATGGAACTATGTTGTGGTTCACTTTATTCTGACCTTCCCTTTTCTGGATAATACACACTCCACTTATTCTGGTTCTGGCTGTGCCTTTTCCTTCTTGAAGAAGTCCCAGCTTTTGCTCTGGAACTCTCTGAATTAATTCTACAGGATAGCAGGCTTTGCTGCCTTTTACCACACAGAGATTGCTGCCTTTTACCACACAGAGATTGGGTGGCAGAAAAAGAAACACCCCAAACAGCTTCTATAGAGATGTAAGCAGTAGGGCAGGGCAGGGTGGAGTACAAGTTAGATGTTTGTCTGTCTAGTATCTGGGTGTGTGTATGTCTTTATTTGGAACTGAAAGTTTTATTTGTAAGGGGTGGGTGATAAGTGAAAAAAGGGAAAATAACATTTTTAGATAAATCCTAGATATCTCCTGACATAGAAACAACTCAAAAAAATCTACATGATCTGTTTTCTGAAAAATCAACTTGGCTAGTACAAAAAACAAATCAGCTGTTTTACCCAGTAGACCACTCTTGCAAAACTGGAGAAAAATTATTTCTTTATTATATACTCAGATATCTAATTTAAGAAATTTATACTTGGGCTACAACTGACTGAGATTCAGGCCATTTAGTAAGTTTTTAATATATAAGATATGAGCAAAGCTATAAAGCAGATTTGCTCCAATTACGTAAAGACTCTTTCACACACATATGAGCAAAACCAAAATGTAGGAAGCCAGTTAATTCTCAGAAGTCAAAGAGCCAACACTAACATACAAAACGAGTATTTTTGACAGCTCTCCACTAGATAATTTACTTCCTTAAAAAGCCAGTATATATAAAATAAAATAAATGTGTCACATTTATAAATACTAAGTCTAAATATGGACAAAAAGGCACTGGTATTTTAAAAAATGGATCCAAAGCAACCTCCTCTCTGGGGGTGGAAGGTGTTGACACATCATTACCTTGACTTTCTCAAAAGATTTAAGTCTCCCCACCCCCTGGTACTTCTGGTTTTTCAGAAGGGTTATTTATGTATTTGGGGGTAAGAGAGTGACAACCTTCCAAATTCTACCTCTCATTCAACTTTTGGAATTTTAGGATTAGGCTAGGGAAGAAACACTTGTTAGAGCACTATCAGAAAATAACTTTCTGATCGAGAAAGCAGATCTTTTGTACATTTACTAAAGGCAGCTGTTTTTGCTATTATTATTTATGAAGGTTCTAAAATAAACGTATAAATTGAATTTCACTTTACTGAATTGTATAATGCTAAGCAATAAAGCTTTACTACAAATGTCAATCAACAGTCTTGCAGCTGAAGGTAAAAGATATTACTGGACTATTTGGATCCTCATGTGTCTATATGTTATATATAGCATGTGTTATGGGCTGAATTGTGTCACCACCCCAATTAATATGTTGAAGTCCTAATCGTCGGTACCTCAGAATGTGATTGCATTCGGAGACAAGGTCTTGACGGAGGTAGTCAAGTTAAAGTAAGATCATTGGGGTGAGTCCTCATCTAATGACGAGTGTCCATATAAGAAGAGGAGATCTGGACACAAACAGTGGACAGGGAAAGACCTTGTGAGGACACAGGGAGAAGACAGCCACACACAAGCCACACAGAGAAGCCTCAGAAGAAACTAATCCTTCTGACAGATTGATTTTGGACTTCTAGCCTCCAGGATCGTGAGAAAATTAATTTCGGTTGTGTAAGCCGCTCGGTCCACGGTGCTTAGTGCTGGCAGCCCTAGTGAACTAACACAGCATGCGAACCCTCTGACGACGTTTAAAGACGGGAGCAACCAGATCTAAGCCTTCCCCTTGCCGTGTGAGCACCACGACGTGTTCCTCAGAGTGCCTTGCTGTCTTGTCAGTCTGCTTTTTCCAGCCACATTATAGACAGTGTTATAAAACAGAATGGTTTTGAAACAGTTTTAGAGGTAATAAACTTCAGGATCCTGCAACGTGATATGAATAGAGCACTTACAATGAAATTACAACAGTGCTAAGGCATCGAGATGCTTGTTTATCCAGTAGTGTCAATACAGACTCTGCAGCAAGCCTCAAGAAACCAGTTCTGTAATAAAGCTGGTACTCTTTAAGGTCAACATTTAAAATACTTTCAGTACTCTATTCAAATACACAGTACTGTATTCTACTCAAAGCAGATTCTAAGATACCAGGTTTTCTGCATTTATGCTTAGTGTAGAAATTAATGTTATAATTGAATTTATCACCGTTAATCACCACCACCTCAGAGTTTTGAGCATAGTTTCCTAAGAATTCAAGCAATAATAATAATGAAACAGATCTATGTTTATTGAGCTAAGTATTAATGTGTTCCAGGCAGTGTTCGTTAAGTACTTGATGTGTATTAGTTCAGTCCTCACAACCATCTTAGGTGACAGATGCTATAACCTTAACCAATGATTTCATCATCATCAACATCGTCATCATCCCCATTTTACAGATGGGAAAACTGATGCTCAGAGGCTAAATAACTTGCTCAGTGTCTCACATCTGGTTTATGGCTGAAATGGGATCTGAACCTAGGTAATTGGATTCCAGAGGCTTCCTTACTAACCCCACTACTTGGTAACCACTGTTCACATCTGATCATCTCATTTTATCAGCCTTAGGAATTGTGTGGTGGAAAAACCTCAGTAAAATGTAATTTACGAAGCTGGAAGGGACCTCGGAAATGATCTAATTCGGCACTCTCATTTTACAGGTGAAAATTGAGGCCAGCGTTAAGTGAATTACTGAAATTTCTAGGTATACAGTAGGACAAGGTCTAACACTCGTGTCTTTTTAAGATCCAGTCTAACCCACTTTCTGGGACACTATGATAGATATCAGGTTTTTACTTTGTTTAGCTTTTTAAGACTCATGCATCTCTGGTGTATTTTTCTATGTGTATGTGTGAATGTCTGTCTCTTCCTTCACTAGGTGTGTACATCTGTGTTTTTCATTGTCTCTATGTTACCAACAGGATTTATATATATATATTGAAGAAAAGGAGGAAGCGGCCTGATGCCTGTAAAGAAACATTCAGATATCTCTCCCTCAAAATGAGGACATTTAGTACAATGCTATTAAAAACAGGTCTGTCTACCTGGATATCTGTTTACACCCTTTCAAGTATTCTCATCTGAGACAAGACCAAACCAGAAGAACTACATTAGGTAAGCTACTGGAATGTACGTTAATGAAAATGAATAATAGTTTTTATGGTAATAACGTTTTTTTCATTAAAATAAAGAAAATCTCTTTTAACATCAGAAAATGACCAGAAGTATGAACCATTTCAAGTATACTTGTTGGTTGGCTTTATTTAGTTTAAATGAAATTTTAACATAATTTCACTGAAATAAGTATATCTATGTCGATGCTTTTCTGAAATAATGCCATTATGATTTGTAA